TATCGGATTGAGTGAAATTCGTTTTCTTGACAAAAAGCTTGCAATTTCACTCATTCACATCAATTATGCGTAAGAAATTTGGAAGCGTAAATAATTTTGAAATCCAGATATTTTTTATAACTACATTAAAAATCTTGAAATGTCAAGACTCAACTGCTGCATTATACTTGTTCGCCGTACAAATGGAGATCACTTGAGATTTCTAATGTTCATTCTAGAACAAATGATTTTCAAATGTGTGCATGTATACATTAGTTCCTTTGATGCAAGGCAAAATTTCAAGCATGAAATCAGAATGAGAGAGGGAGAGAGAGAAAGAGAATTCAATTCGCCTCAAAAATTTATAATAGACAAAAACATATTATTATTTAGTCGTTGTCGATGTCATTTATTTCTGAAAATAACATTTCTGACTAAGTGTAAGGTAAAATGTATTATGAAATTGATTTATTTTATTTTCCTTTACTGGCAATATACTACGTGTATTTGTAAAATTTGAAATGCATTAACAGTAAATCTCTGTAAGATTTAACGAAGAATAGAGTACCCGAACCTTATCTCTGCTTGTAATGAAAGGCAAGGTAAATTTTGTAGTCTTTGAACGGTACTTTATATGTTTTTCAAGATGAACTCTCGCCATCTCGTCAGCGACTTCTTACATTTACTTATTCCAATGAACGTTGTACTTACGTCGTTCAAAGGGAGATCATTTGAGTACATCCAGAGTTACCTTATGCAAATTTCACAAGATAACTGCTAAGCATTTGAGAGATAAGTATAAATTGGAGATTTCTGGAGGGTGGTGGTGGGCTAATATTTCTGCTTGTTTCAGGCAATAAAGACACATAAAGTCGTGAACCAACCTGCTTCTGCTTCATGTATCTGCACATGCATGTACATGCATTGTACTGCATGTGCAACCTGTGCACCTTATGCTTGATCAGACAAATCGCTCTTATTTTAATTTACACATATTGATATCTTGGTTTTTTTTTTTTAAATAATTTTTAAGCTCAGATATTTTAATCTTAATATATTTTTTGTTCTTGAAACTAATCAGAGATGTGACTGTGTTAATTTTGTTGGATCAAAATAGTAAGGAAACTTATTCTTTCAAATGATTGTGAATGCATTTGTTTGTACAAATTAAGATATAGCAATTACAAGATGTGACTAAATAAGGTACGTGCTCATTGTTGATTTTAAAAACGATACAAAACTTTTCTTTCTGTTGGGAAGAAGTCATTGTTGCAGTCTTTGAAAAGTAACTGTTTTGTGAGCTGAACTCTAGTCATCACGTGACCAGAAACCGTTCAACGCTATCAATCCAAAGCGTGAGAGCTCTAACCGACGACTCCCTAGACTTTTGTAGATAAATGATTTTTTCAATAGTAACTGTCAAAAGATTGCATTTTGGCATCAAAGTTAGATATATTGGCTACGCATTACCGTTATAAGATCAATAAAGAACCCTCCATTACATTTTTTAACCAAAAAATTATAAAATTCATCTTCGATGTATCGGATTGAGTGAAATTCGTTTTCTTGACAAAAAGCTTGCAATTTCACTCATTCACATCAATTATGCGTAAGAAATTTGGAAGCGTAAATAATTTTGAAATCCAGATATTTTTTATAACTACATTAAAAATCTTGAAATGTCAAGACTCAACTGCTGCATTATACTTGTTCGCCGTACAAATGGAGATCACTTGAGATTTCTAATGTTCATTCTAGAACAAATGATTTTCAAATGTGTGCGTGTATACATTAGTTCCTTTGATGCAAGGCAAAATTTCAAGCATGAAATCAGAATGAGAGAGGGAGAGAGAGAAAGAGAATTCAATTCGCCTCAAAAATTCATAATAGACAAAAACATATTATTATTTAGTCGTTGTCGATGTCATTTATTTCTGAAAATAACATTTCTGACTAAGTGTAAGGTAAAATGTATTATGAAATTGATTTATTTTATTTTCCTTTACTGGCAATATACTACGTGTATTTGTAAAATTTGAAATGCATTAACAGTAAATCTCTGTAAGATTTAACGAAGAATAGAGTACCCGAACCTTATCTCTGCTTGTAATGAAAGGCTTAATATCAGGTAAATTTTGTAGTCTTTGAACGGTACTTTATATGTTTTTCAAGATGAACTCTCGCCATCTCGTCAGCGACTTCTTACATTTACTTATTCCAATGAACGTTGTACTTACGTCGTTCAAAGGGAGATCATTTGAGTACATCCAGAGTTACCTTATGCAAATTTCACAAGATAACTGCTAAGCATTTGAGAGATAAGTATAAATTGGAGATTTCTGGAGGGTGGTGGTGGGCTAATATTTCTGCTTGTTTCAGGCAATAAAGACACATAAAGTCGTGAACCAACCTGCTTCTGCTTCATGTATCTGCACATGCATGTACATGCATTGTACTGCATGTGCAACCTGTGCACCTTATGCTTGATCAGACAAATCGCTCTTATTTTAATTTACACATATTGATATCTTGGGGGTTTTTAAAATAATTTTTAAGCTCAGATATTTTAATCTTAATATATTTTTTGTTCTTGAAACTAATGTTTTGTCTACATAAATCAGAGATGTGACTGTGTTAATTTTGTTGGATCAAAATAGTAAGGAAACTTATTCTTTCAAATGATTGTGAATGCATTTGTTTGTACAAATTGGGATATAGCAATTACAAGATGTGACTAAATAAGGTACGTGCTCATTGTTGATTTAAAAACGATACAAAACTTTTCTTTCTGTTGGGAAGAAGTCATTGTTGCAGTCTTTGAAAAGTAATTGTTTTGTGAGCTGAACTCTAGTCATCACGTGACCAGAAACCGTTCAACGCTATCAATCCAAAGCGTGAGAGCTCTAACCGACGACTCCCTACACTTTTGTAGATAAATGATTTTTTCAATAGTAACTGTCAAAAGATTGCATTTTTGCATCAAAGTTAGATATATTGGCTACGCATTACCGTTATAAGATCAATAAAGAACCCTCCATTACGTTTTTTAACCAAAAAATTATAAAATTCATCTTCGATATATCGGATTGAGTGAAATTCGTTATCTTGACAAAAAGCTTGCAATTTCACTCATTCACATCAATTATGCGTAAGAAATTTGGAAGCGTAAATAATTTTGAAATCCAGATATTTTTTATAACTACATAAGACACAAACCAAAGCCAAATAAAAATCTTGAAATGTCAAGACTCAACTGCTGCATTATACTTGTTCGCCGTACAAATGGAGATCACTTGAGATTTCTAATGTTCATTCTAGAACAAATGATTTTCAAATGTGTGCGTGTATACATTTGTTCCTTTGATGCAAGGCAAAATTTCAAGCATGAAATCAGAATGAGAGAGGGAGAGAGAGAAAGAGAATTCAATTCGCCTCAAAAATTCATAATAGACATAAACATATTATTATTTAGTCGTTGTCGATGTCATTTATTTCTGAAAATAACATTTCTGACTAAGTGTAAGGTAAAATGTATTATGAAATTGATTTATTTTATTTACCTTTACTGGCAATATACTACGTGTATTTGTAAAATTTGAAATGCATTAACAGTAAATCTCTGTAAGATTTAACGAAGAATAGAGTACCCGAACCTTATCTCTGCTTGTAATGAAAGGCTTAATATCAGGTAAATTTTGTAGTCTTTGAACGGTACTTAATATGTTTTTCAAGATGAACTCTCGCCATCTCGTCAGCGACTTCTTACATTTACTTATTCCAATGAACGTTGTACTTACGTCGTTCAAAGGGAGATCATTTGAGTACATCCAGAGTTACCTTATGCAAATTTCACAAGATAACTGCTAAGCATTTGAGAGATAAGTATAAATTGGAGATTTCTGGAGGGTGGTGGTGGGCTAATATTTCTGCTTGTTTCAGGCAATAAAGACACATAAAGTCGTGAACCAACCTGCTTCGTGTATCTGCACATGCATCTACATGTATTGTACTGCATGTGCAACCTGTGCACCTTATGCTTGTTCAAACAAATCACACTTATTTTATTTTACACATATTGATATCTTGTTTTTTTTAAATAATTTTTAAGCTCAGATATTTTAATCTTAATATATTTTTTGTTCTTGAAACTAATGTTTTGTCTACATAAATCAGAGATGTGACTGTGTTAATTTTGTTGGATCAAAATAGTAAGGAAACTTATTCTTTCAAATGATCGAGAATGCATTTTTTTGTACAAATTAAGATATAGCAATTACAAGATGTGACTAAATAAGGTACGTGCTCATTGTTGATTTAAAAACGATACAAAACTTTTCTTTCTGTTGGGAAGAAGTCATTGTTGCAGTCTTTGAAAAGTAACTGTTTTGTGAGCTGAACTCTGGTCATCACGTGACCAGAAACCGTTCAACGCTATCAATCCAAAGCGTGAGAGCTCTAACCGACGACTCCCTACACTTTTGTAGATAAATGATTTTTTCAATAGTAACTGTCAAAAGATTGCATTTTTGCATCAAAGTTAGATATATTGCTACGCATTACCGTTATAAGATCAATAAAGAACCCTCCATTACATTTTTTAACAAAAAAAATTATAAAATTCATCTTCGATGTATCAGATTGAGTGAAATTCGTTATCTTGATAGAAAGCTTGCAATTTCACTCATTCACATCATTTATGCGTAAGAAATTCTGAAGCATAAATAATTTTGAAATCCAGATATTTTTTATAACTACATAAGACACAAACCAAAGCCAAATAAAAATCTTGAAATGCCAAGACTCAACTGCTGCATTATACTTGTTCGCCGTACAAATGGAGATCACTTGAGATTTCTAATGTTCATTCTACAACAAATGATTTTCAAATGTGTGCATGTATACATTAGTTCCTTTGATGCAAGGCAAAATTTCAAGCATGAAATCAGAGAGAGAGAGAGAGAGAGAGAGAGAGAGAGAGAAAGAAAGAGAGAAACTTTATGAATTAAATGAAAAAGATCCTGTAAAAATATGAAAATGTTATTTTTTATCATATAAAAACATGAACATAAAATTAATATTCAATCTACATGGATTTTAATTAAACATTATGGAACTCAGTGCCAATACACAGCATTATGCAAACCAAAAACTGAAAGTGATGGGTGACAAATTAAGAAAAATGAAAACTGCTTGGCAGTCAAATTCATAGTATGAAATTCACAATTCATTCATCTTCTCTTTCATTTATATAAATATTCCAAGGAACTATCTATATTAATATGAAAATTTTACTATGGTGTTTCAACATCTTTTATATGCAATGAATACCCCTTAAAATTCTTCTAATCAACATGTTTTCTATATATTCAATACAATGAAATATGGATAAAACACAAAAGTTGAAAATAAATAAATGAAATGTCTTGCTTTGCAAGTAATGGGTTTATATATTATAAACAATGATTTATACTATACAACTTTTGACATGTAGTGAAAATTTGAAGACTCTTATATGTTTGTGTGTGTGTGTAGGACACCTTAATTTGTATCCAACAGAATTTGTATATCAAATTTGATTTCAGAAAATTATTTTTATCTACACACTAGAAACATCCTACTATACAAGATTTTCATATAATGCCCGAAAAAACTTAACCAATTTTTTTTCTAAGTCAATAATTAAATCTTTGTCTACAATAGCACTACCAAAACTGAGAATGGGGACAGGGGCATAAAATTAATCAATGTTCTTTGATGAGTGAAATACTTTTTATACAACATAAAGTAAGTGTCATGAAGTTTGTCTTCCTTTGCACAACCCTCTTTGCTTTGATATTTCCAATGCTATCAGTAAAAGCCATCATCAAATTTAACACAGTTTGTTTTATCAAACTCCTTACTAAGTAAATTGACATGTTTTTCCTCATCACTTAGCTTGGAGACGTACAACAAATCAGCATTCCGAGATTGCTCAGATTTCTTCACTGGCTTTTCAGATGCCTCATAACCAAGCAGTTTAACCTGAACAGGTGATACGTTTTCAATGTCTGCAGATTTTGGTGAATATTTCTTGCTTACTGATTTCCGTTTTCCATATTTGAACAGAAAGAAAAACACAAGTAACATTAAGAGAATGATCACGATGGCTGCCAAGACACATATGATAATGGTTGTTGCATTCTTATTGTTCTTGACTGGATCTAAAAATAATAGTAACACAATCCATTGAACTTTATCATCATATTCTTGTTCATATAATTGTAATACATGTAATGTACTTTATTCCCAAAACATTTAATGACCTCTGCTTTCAAGAAAAATAGGAGACCAGATCAAATATCTTCCAGAGAGCAGAATTTGCTAAAATGATTAAATAATTGTGTGTTCCATGTGTATCATTACCTCTTTCTGCCTCTTCTTTAACAATCACAGAAGGTTTAGGTTCTGACAGAGAATGAACTTCCACTGTTGTTTGTTCATCTAAATTAAATAATTCTCATTTAGATACCATAATACTAATAGCCTACATTTAGCTTTATTTCAGTATTCCTTTGTCTTGAGCAGGGGTAAGATACAGAATTTTGTTTTCTTTTATGGGGGAGGGGGGGAGGCATTAAAAAATTATTCCAAAGGATGGGGGACCTCTGCTGCCCTGAAACAAAGCCAACTTCTTCACTCATTGAACTTTTAGCATCAAGACTCTGTGGCAAGCGGTGGTGGTGTGTAGGTACAGGTATAAACTGGCCTATATTTTAGCAGACATAGCATAGGGTTATTGAAAGAAAACAAGAGGCCCAAGGGCCTTAACGGTCACCTGAGTACAATACAACAATTTAGAGGATCCATAGAGTATTAAAATGAAATGAAAGGTGAAGCTTTGATGCCCAAAAGCAAGAAAAATAGGGTGATCAGGATCAACAAAATAATTAGTCTACTATTCATTAACAATTCATAAATTAGGTTCTAATCTGTTCCCCATCTATCACTATCACCATATAGTATATTAACAAACTATCAGTGCTTTTGTACTATTTTAATTCCTTGTTGTAATCTCTTACATTGGCCTCTCTTGGTCTTTGATGAACATTTAATAAGACAAGTTATTTTTGTCTCATTTTTATTTATCTATTACTTACAAGTCCACATGATCATTAAAACTATGAAAATACTTTTTGTATTATACAATAAAAATTCTTGCATAATTCTCTTATTCTATTAATTTTTCAAGTACATTATTTACAATGATTAATTATCAAAAGTAAACGGCAAAGGGGAATAACTCCTCTCAGTAGAATGCAAATTAACTGAGCCCTGGCTAGGACCAGAACACTTGACCAAATGGTCCAGATGTTCAAAAATCTGGTAAAAATACCCTTCCTTATTACAACTTTTACACTTTTTGCCTCTGATATGCCCAAGTGCAGAGAAGATTTTTAAAGAAATAATGCATTTTCACTACAGATTCACTATATTATCAATAGAGCCCCCCCCCCCCCTTCACCACGAGAAACACCAGAGCCTCTCACCCTGGGACCAGAAGTTTCAAGTTTGCTCATCATGAGTAATCACTTTGTTTAACTGCTTAACATTAAGGAGCAGACAGGATTATTTAATAGAATTAATGCATATTCACTACATTATCAACAGCCCCACCCTTATACCAGCACATCTGACCTGGGGTCATGCAATTCACTACTCTGGAAGAAGCACTCTTGATCATCATAACGATATACTTAGCTTCTTTGCTTTTTAACCAGAAGCAGAAAAGAATATTTTCAAAGAAATTTTGATTTTTCACTATATAATCAATAGAGCCCCCCCACCCCACCCCCCCTTTTGACCAGAACCCTTGACCCTGGGGCCATGAAATTCACAATTTTAGAAGAGGCATCCTTGCATATCATAACAATGTACTTAGTTTGTTTAAATAGTACCCAGGGGCAGAGAAGAAGATTTTCAAAGAAATAATTCACCTTCACTATAGGAGATATATAGCCCCACCCTAGCACAAGAACCCCTGTCCCTGGGGCCATGAATTTCACAATTTTGGAAGAGGTGTCCTTGCTTATCATAACAATGTACTTAGTTTGTTTAAATAATACCCAGAAGCAGAGAAAAAGATTTTTAAAGCATTAATGCATTTTCACTATATAATAAATAGAGCCCCGCCCTAACATCAGAACCCCTGACCCAGGGGCCATGAAATTCACAATTTTGGTAGAGTTACTCTTGCTTATCATAACTATGTATTTAATTTGTTTCAATAATACCCAGGAGTAGAGAAGAAGATTTTTTAAGAAATAATGCACTTTCACTATATGATCTATATACCCCCCCCCCCCAGAACCCCTGACCCTGGGGCCATGAATTTCACAATTTTGGTAGAGTCACCCTTGCTGATCATAACTCTGTATCTAATTTGTTTAAATAATACCCAGGAGTAGAGAAGAAGATTTTCAAGGAAATAATGCACTTTCACTATGTGATCTATATAGCCCCACCCTAGCACCAGAACCCCTTACCCTGGGGCCATGAATTTCACAATTTTGGTAGAGTCACCCTTGCTTATCATAACTATGTATTCAATTTGTTTCAATAATACCCAGGAGTAGAGAAGAAGATTTTCAAAGAAATAATGCACTTTCACTATATGATCTATATAGCCCCACCCTAGCACCAGAACCCCTGACCCTGGGGCCATGAATTTCACAATTTTGGTAGAGGGCTCAATGCTTATTACAATCATGTCAACAGTTTGACTGCTTGATGTCCAGGAGTAAAGAAGAAGATTTTTAAAGATTGCATTAATTTTGATGGTTTTAGCCCCACCCCTCAGGCCCCAGGGGGGCAGGGACCATGAAATTCACAAATTTTGTTCCCCTTCACACATAGATGCCATATGCAAAAATTGGCTGAAATTGGTTCAGCGGTTTCAGAGAAGAAGCTGAAAATGTTCAAATGTTAACACACGATGCACGACGGATGAAAACAGATAGCAATAGGTCACCTGAGTGACTCAGGTGACCTAAAAAAATGAGTGAGTTTTGAAAGTTTTAGGGACTCCCAGGGGCATGTATCCTCTGAAAATTTGAGGTGTGGACAGTGTAGTATATTTCATAAATATTGTTGACACTGCAGTGTGTATAACTTTTTGATTCATATCACACATATATATGATATCAAAATCCAATTCATCAACATTGCAATATTGGACAACATCAAGTCAACATGACATTGTTTTTCTTTGTTTATATCATTCACAGTAGACATCGCAGTGTTGGATGACATCAAGGGAGTCAATAATGATGTCTCCCTCATGCACAGGGTGACAACTGTGTTGTCTCCCTTTAGATGATAATGAAAAAGTGCAAACAATATTGCAGGGTGACAAATGTGTGGTCTCCCTTTTAGATGTTTATTCCAGAATGTTTTTTTTGTATTACAAATCAATTTACTTGAAACTAGCGATGTCCAGATTTGACAACTTTTACTGTATATGCGGGATCAATAAAAAATCAGTTCTAATGGTGGCATCAAAGTTGTCTGTTGACATATTTTTAAACAAGTGGGTAGGCAAACACAAGAGGTTTGACTTACATTTTCTTCAACAAAATAAAACTATTAAGGACTGTTTAGAAGGGAAACATCACAAATTATCAGGTCTAAGTAGGGTTGTCACCCTAGGGCCATAATTTGATCAATATAGAAGCTACACTATCTCAGGAAGCTTTCACATGTTTCATACCTTCAGGACCAATAGTTTTGAGATTTTTAAAGAGTTTTTCCTATATTTATATATCTTTGTGGAACTTTGATCCCCTTTATGTGCCCCACCCTACCCCCAGGGGCCATGATTTGAACAAATTAGAATATACACTACCTCAGGAAGCTTCATATGTTTCATCATTCCTGGTCAAATGGTTTTTAAAGAATTTCTTGTATGTATTTCAATGTAAAACTCTAATCCTTTACTGTGGCCCCATCCTACCTCCGGGGACATGATGTTGAAAATTTAAAATCTACACTACCTATGGAAGCATTCACTTAAGTTTCATCTTTTCTGGACCACTTATGGCTTTTGAGAAGCAGATTTTTTGAAGAATTTTTCCTACATATATTTCAATGTAAAAATATGATCCCTTTTATGGCCGAAACTTAATCCTGGGGGACCATAATTTGAACAATTTAGAATCCACAATACCTCATGAAGCTTCCACCCAAGTTTCATTTCTTCTGGTCCAGTGGTTCTTGAGAAGATTTTTTAATGACCCCACCCTTTTTTGTCTTTTCTTGATTATCTCCCCTTGTAATAGAACTTGGTCCTTTCTTTGAACAATTAAGAATCCCCTTCATCCAGGGATGCTTTGTGCCAACTTTCATTAAAATTGGCCCATTGGTTTTTGAGAAGAAGTAAGACATGTGAAAAGTATACAGACAGATGGACAGACAGTTGCTGGACAACAGGTGATCAGATGTAAAACTGTGATCCTTTACTGTGGCTCCACACTACCCCAGTGGTCCATGATTTTAACAATTTAGAATCTACACTTTCTAAGGAAGCTTTCACATAATTTTCATCTTTTCTAGTCCAGTTGTTCTTAAGAAAAAAGAGTTTTTCTAAATATTTTACCCATATTTGATAACTTTGATTAAAATTTGCTGGTGGTTCTTGAGACTAAGTTTAAAAGTTTACAGACGGATGGACACTGGACAATGGGTGATCAGAAAAGCTCAAGGAAAAGCTCACTTGAACTTTCAGCTCAGGTGAGCTAAAAATGCAAATGTGTCTTTGAAAATGCCTGAAAAAGGGACATCAACCATCAAATGGCCCAGAGAGCATCATACAAGAGGACCATGAACCACAGCACGCACCTGAGTTACTTTGGCCCTGCTGTTCTTCACCATATTTTCCCCTTCTAACACTTATTGTGGCCCAAACATACCCTCGGGGTCATGATTTACACAATTTATTTAGAATCAACTTTACCTCAGAAAGCTTCCACATAAGTTTAAGCTTTTCTGGTCCAGTGGTTCTTGAGGAGGAGATTTTTCCATTACATTTGAATGTAAAACTTGGATTCCCTATTATGGCCCCACCCTACCCCCAGGTGTCATGATTTGAATAATTTAGAATCTACACTATGCCTGGAGGCTTCCACATAAGTTTCAGTTTTTCTGGCTGCTTACTGTGGCCCCAACCTACCCCCAGGGGCCATGATTTAAACAAATTAGAATCTACATTATCAAAGGATGCTTCCACATAAGTTTCATCTTTTCTGGCCAAGTGGTCTTGAGAAGACTTTTTAATGACCCCACCACATTTTTGTCTTTTTTTGATTATCTCCCCTTGAAAGGGGGCTTGGTCCTTCATTTTAACAATTTTAAACTCCCCTTCACTTAATGACGACGGACCTAATTCATTTCTGCAATAGAATTTTTAGTCAAATTTTAATATGAAGTGAAGTGACTTTTGGTGAGTT